GCCTCTCCGTGTCACCGGTGCCCGGGGAGAGCAGGGGACGGAACTGACTCCCACGTACACGGTGTCCCCGCACGGCTAAGCGCTGCAGCGGGGTGTGTGATCTCGCTTCAGGAGCCCGGATTTATTTGGGGTCTTGTAAACAGTCTGGGTGGGGCTGTGTTCTATGTCCAAATGCTTAAGGTCATTTCTAAGCCAACTTAGTTACGGTAGCCAATGTGCAGGACGACATTCAAGACATTTTACGAGCTTCGTTGCGCAAAATCGTACCCTGTAGCTCTGTGTACGAAATAACTTAAATGTGTCGGAGGGAAAAGCTTCCCAAAACACATCTTTTCGCCTTCTCAGTGTTGTTCAAGCACAGCGGTGTCCCTAGTGAATTATCTGTCATGGCACACAAGTGCTGACTGCCGGTGGTTTTTAAATAGCTCCCGTCCAAGGCTGAGAGGTCTGGCAAGTTCACCGCAGTGACCCGCGCCCTAGATCTGCCAGGCAGGTCTGGCAGGAGCGGGACCAGCCGATTGGCTGATCGCTGGGGATTTAGCTGGGTCTTGCAAATGCGCCGGTCACGGTTCACGTGGAGAATCCATCCACCCAAATTCCGTAGCTGCTCATCCGGCACAGGGGTCATGGTGAATACGAATAACTGGAAACACTGGTCATGAGCAGAGGCGGATAGTTCAGGTCCAGAGAGTAAAAGTCCAGACCAAGATTTTGTTTCAGCCAGCCAGTTGAGTATAAAGACTCACAGAACACTTAACTGATTGTTTGAAACAAAATCTTGGTCTGGACTTTTACTCTCTGGACCTGAACTATCCGCCTCTGGTCATGAGACAGGGACACCATGGACTCATGATGGATTTAGGGTAATTGCAACCCAAATCATTCCATCATCCCACTTATTACTGGACCAGGGATATACAGAACCTATCCAAGGCAGCTTTGGACTGCGGTATACCCTGGACGGGGTGCCAGTTCATTGCTGGGCACAGTCTCGCACATTATAGGCAATTCATGGATGCCACATGTCTTTGGACTGTGGGGGGACAATCGAGTGCCCAGAGGGCACAGGGAGAACTCAGCAGAACACACAGATACAGGCTTGTGAAGGGCCTGGGCACCATCCACCAAACGGCGCTGTTGTTGGAAAATAATAAGAGAAATGCTTAACTATTGATCTTTTTCCTGATAGTATTTCCATGCACGTTGTTGGCAGAGCTACTGCTGTTTGAAAATTAATTAGTTTCTGGTCTCCTGACTGTTTGTTCTGTAATAAGGTTTAGCTTGAAGTGTCAGCAGACGGTTTGTGTGCGTGATTCATGGGTTTCACAAAGACTTAATAACACCTTTTGCACATAAAAAGTGAAACAATTTGAAATAGAGGAATAACAACAGAGTTTGGTTGCTGAACTGCACTTTTTCTGTTGGAATTAATTTAATTCAGGGTATAAATTACGTAATTCTTGTCAGTCCAGTGTTACTGTTCCCAGTGAGCTCTGGTTAAACTGGTTAAGGCACTGGTGCTCCTCCTGGTTTAATTTTGGTCTTGTAAGCATCACAAGCAGGATGGGTTGTTGGGAAGGTGGATGGATGGTATGTAATGCAGCACGCCTATTGATTTACGAGCTTGTGTTGAAGACCGTTTGTTTTATGCATTCTGTGCTGCAGTTTTTCCTTCCATCTATCCAATCATCTTTTCTTTGGATTGTGGTGGGAAGCCAGAGCACCCAGAGGAAACCAGTGCAACACGGAGAACAAACTCACAACATCTGGGGGGGTGCGGGGGGGTCATGTTGTAATTGGTGGACTGGACCCATCTTTATAGATCCTCTTCCCTGCTTGTGCTTATCGTAAATGTTTACATCCAGAAAGGCGTTTTCATCTTCTGTCTTTTCTTTCGACATCAGCACATTTGACAAGGCACACTTGGTTTCATATGGGGGGGGGGGTGTCTGCAAGCTGTCCGGCTTTTATACTCTGGCATGTTGTCAATTTTAAGCTTTGACTTCAGTGTTTAAATGCTGCCTTTACAATTATCAGGGATTGAAGCATTCCTTGCCCTTACAATAATGGCGTCCTCTGGAAATTCAGCGTTCTTCACACAATATACAATTCTTTTTTTTTCCCCCCCCGCAGATGATGTGTCGTGTTATTTTGGATGGCAGGCAACACCCTCTAGAAATGGCTTTGCTCTTGAACCGGGCGGGTCTGACGTTTAATAACGTAAACGTAATTTAATAAATGTAAAAATAACGTAAACGTAATTTAATAAATGTAAAAATATAACGTAAACGTAATTTAATAAATGTAAAAATATAACGTAAACGTAATTAATAAATGTAAATTGGAAGTGTTTTTTTTTTTTTTTTTTTTCCTGGAATGCTTGGTGATAATTCAAATCCCCAAACACACATGTTGCTTCATGACAAACTTGGGTAGAGCCTGTTGCAGAATGCCATCCAATTTTGCACACAGTGGGAGCGTGAAGTCCTGTGCTCCGGGAAAATATCAAAGGGCTTTATTTGGATCCTCTTTGCCAAAAATCGCCTGGGTGAATGAACGTCGATTTTGTCAGGCTGTTCACTCACTAGAGGAGACGACAGTCTGCATGCATCTGGTGGCTATCAGACCTCAGGGACTGGGAAACGTTATAGGTATTGGGTGAATGTATTGTCTGAAAGGAAAGTCAATGTTTTAATGTTTGATAATATTCATTATGCTGCTGTATGTGCAGTAATCTTAGCCAGAGGCTTTGTTGTACTTTAAACCCAAAATCAGGAGGGATCGAGGGAGACCGCAGTGTGATGAGCGATCATGGCCTGGGGGGTAGCTGTCCCCCAGGAGCGCGGAGCCTGGGGGGGGGGATTGCATGTCTCAGTCAGGGGGCTGGCAAAATCCCAGTTTCTCTCTCCCTCTATGCTAGATTCCAAGGCCAGCCTCCCAGACAGCCCAGTACGAGGCAGACTTGGACCTGACGCGGCTGTTTGTTTAAGTGCCTGCACTGAATTGACGTTTCACCTCGTTGACAGGCCTCACTGATCAGAGGCACTGAAAACAGTCTCCTGGCATCTGTCCCGTGTGAGCACAAGGGTTAAAAAAAAAAAAAACCTTAAAAAATGCAGCCATGGCGACCCTTTGGCTCTGTCGTGGTTATTGTTTTTATCTGGATCAGCTAGCTGGGATTGAGGTGCTCAGGCAGCAGCAGCGCGATTCGGGCTCCATGAATAGCCATGCAGATGCTGGCTGACGTGAGGCTGACGTGTGCCGTCTGGAACCCTGTGTGCAGCCGGCTACGCAAGCCTGATGAGACAAGCTCACGTGCTAAAATGCTAGCCGCTAGTGGGCTGTTAGCAAGAGCGGCTAAGCTAAATTGAAACATTGTGCTTTAAAAGTGTCATTTTCATGTGCCTATTGTAGCATTTAAATTTGTTCTTGCTCAAACTTGCATATATTTATTCAATAGATCAAACAAAAAAGTAAGACGCGCTATTGTCCCAGCCTTCATTTGAACTTCATCACTGCACCTTCTTCTTTAAGGGGTTTTGATTTACTTACCTGTGCCATGCTTCAGACGGATGATTAGAGGGTTGATAGCGAGGTCACAGCCTGAGGAGCCAGCTATTGGGGGGGGTCAGATGTCACTCACTCCCAGGCACCAATCGCAGATATATAGGTGGGGTTTGGAGCAGCATAATGGATTACACTGGATGAAAACCACACTGAAAGATTTATTTCAATTGACTTGGTGAATGGGTCGATTCCTGGGCTAGTACATCAAAGATGTTTTCGCAGAACTGTGGTTTAAAGTACATTTGTTTGTATCTGCACCACTAGCGTAGATAATCAAAGTGAAGGACAGCAGGCTGGCATTCTGTCATCCCCGGCTCGCGTCGATACCAGTGAAGCAGCAAAAAACAGCAAACTGTGCATCCCGTGTAACTGAAAGGTCTCTACGGGGAAGTTTAACAACGAGAGATGGAAAGAAGATAAGGTGCAGAATACTTGCCCCCCCCTCGCCATCTTCGAGCGGCCCATAAGCCGACGATAGCTCGGGATTCTCGAGGGACCCGCTAAAACTCGGCGAACATGAATGCTCTTTTTCTTAGCCGTTCCCCGACCGACTCCGAGCGAGCAGAAGAAGGGCTTGTGAGTGTCGGACAAGCGGCCCCTTTGTGCCCCTCCCCCGAAGACAAGGGGCAGTGTGTTGAGGCCGACGTTGTGGACAAGGAGCTTCACGCTGTCCAGTCGACCTGAAGCGCCTGGGTCCCGACTCCGGCTGCCTAATTACGGGACACTTTGCCAGGACACGTTCCCCTCCTACACAGCGCCTCTTGTGTCTGAGGCCGGGATCTCCAACCTCGCCCAATCGGTCTCGGGTTCGGCAGCTGCGTCCCAGCCTGCTGTTCAGTGGGGCAAAAGGCCGGCATGTACTGTGTCCACTGGGTTTCACGTCCACATGCAGAAATGGGACATTTAGTGGGTGATGTGTGGCTAGGCAGGTTAGTGCAGAGTGCCTGCAATCGGAAGGTTGTCTGTTCCAAGTGCTTAGATTTGGGTATGGATGGTAGGGAGATCTCTACTGATATTGTGGGAGTGCCGTGTGTTTTTAGGGGGTTTAGGGAGTTGATTTGGTCCCTACAGGTATAGAAACCAAACCTTATGTCTTCGGCTAGTTCATATCCCCGGGCCAGCAGAGCGATGTTTCTCAATTGAAAGCGTCTGATAAGAAGATAAAACGTAAATGTAATTTTGACTATGGTATTTCTTTTGATGATTTTGCTTCAAGCAAATGCGTTCCTGAAATGCTGTGAGATCTGTAGGCCGCCCGCTGAAAAAAATAATGCAGTTCTTTAAGAATCTCTTTAAAAGCTTGCAGCTGATGAATGACTTTCCGGTCATTCATCCCATGTTTGCAGTACCGAGGACGTCAGATCGTTTGGCTGAAGCTGCACCCAAGATAAAATGGGCGGTGGGGAGGGGGGGGGGGGGGGGGGGGGCGTGATATAAACATAGGCAGTTAACGGAGACACGCTCACTCAAGTGACCTGTTTTGCTTTGCTGCCTTCCCTCTTGCTCTGAAGCCGTCAGCGCCCTTCAAAGTTTTCTGCGGAGCCCTTCCGTAACTTTCTACTCACAAACTGGGATCCGCTTCCAGAGTGTTCCGTTACTGAAAATTATACTCGCAAATCCTCTCAATCCCTGGACGGCTTCTGCATAATAGGTAGGAATGCCCCCGTCAGGGGAAGATGAGTGTTGTAATAGAACGGTAACCTAGATAGGTTATAAATAGAGCTTATGCAATGGCTCGATACGATGTTATGTAATCATGCCGAAAGCTTCTTCGCTGGGCCGCTGTTAAGGCTGCCTCCGGCCTGTGGCACTGTGGTCCACCTGCGGTTTCCCAGGCTCTTTCCGAACTCCTGAACGGCTGCCAATGGCGTCCGGTGTCGGCGCTCTGCGGAAGCTGGTATCGGAGCAGACTGACGCGAGCGGCTGCTCGAGCCGAGGGAGCCGGCTCGATTGGCTCTTCAGCCAAAGGTTGTATGGGATTTTTTTTCCACCACGTTACACAGCGTTCGATATTCTATCTACGGTGGACACGTCACTACATCTTAAATGTCTCGTTTTTCTGTCACACCTATAAAATACATGCTTGAGCCTGATCTTAGTATGGCTTTATCATTGTAGATGCTTCTGTAATATCTGCAAAGGTTTTGTTTCCTCGTTGTCTCTGATGGTGTACCACGAGTTTATTGAAGGTGTACTCTTGCATAAATTGGTTTTTGTTCCCCCACAGGGTCTTTTTTGGAAATTAAGAAGTCCCTCCCGGAGGTTCATGGGAGTTTTACTTGTACAATAATGTTCTGAGGACAGAAGGGAAAATGATTTGTTCAGCGAGGAGAACCAATCAGATTGTAAAGGAGGTGGGTCCAATCAACTAGCATCTGATTGTTTGGTTCTGCCTCCTCTACAACCTGATTGGTTATTTCTTTGAAGCAATTATTTTTCTTTCTGCCCTCAGAACATTTTGTGTATGTAAAACTCCCAAGAGCCTAATGGAGCCTCATTAAGGAATATTTGTCTATGGCGCGTTGTTCTGAGGGATGTGCAGTGATGACGATGACAGCACCTGTGCCGCCCCAGGCCCTCGGGTCTGTAGCTCTGTGTGGTTGTTCCTCTGCAGTACAGCTGGCCCTCTCTTTGCTGGCACTGTCACAGACAGACAGACAGGGGGCGCCGCAGTTAGCCGATGTCGCTAAGCGCTCCCCACGCGTCCACATCCTCCCGGTCCTGGAGAGACTTTGTCTGAGGGTGGTACCACTCGCAGTTCTTCCCCTCCCAGGTCGGACTCGTGCCTCCACCAGACTCACTAATTATTCACAGCGAATTGCTTTGGGATGTCAGCCGGCTGGTCAGTGTCAACACCGACTTAATTATTTATTTTACCTCCCAATTATTTAAATGTTTGCAGTATTGAACTGGTAAATATTGGAGCAGTTCCCTGACCTTCCCAAACCGGGGGCGGCATACCTGTCTCCCTCCCACCCCCCATGCCGAGCTTTCAGCTTTCTCCAAGGGGGGTCTCACAGACTCCCCTGGGGCTCCGGCTTGTTGCCTAGCAGCTGTGGAACACGTGTCGACACGTGACTCATCTCAGCCGCGCTTCTTTGCCACATAGCCGCGTTTACACTTTTCTGGAGGGGGGAGGTGCCCGTTTGAGATGGCAAAGCGGGTGGGAGAGCAGAAAACTCGCCTTGGCAGGAGGAGGTGTCAGAAAGGGCTTTTTGTTTGTTTGTTTGGTTTTACCTCCCCCACTCTTCAGAGAGGTGCTCCATGGGTGCAGACTGATTTTCAAAACATCCTGTCCACATCCTTGGGGGGAACGTGGTGAGTCAAAGCGTATCCCAGGAGGTCTAGGGCAGTACCCAAGACGGGACACCAGCCATTGTGATGCAGACTGTAAACTCTGTTGAACATATTTGTAGGGGGGG